CCCCAAAACCCCAAAACCCCAAAACCCCATTCTTTTCTGGAGATATTGAAATTACTAACTATTCATTCTCATCTTTCCAAAGCTTTCAAATGATTCTCTCTCTTCATCACTGCTACACTCTTCATACACATCGTCTTCTTTTTTGGAAGACTTCATTGAAACATAAAGAGATCAAAGGCATGAAAAACATCCGATAAGGATGAGCCCTCCAACAACGATTGCTATAATTCCCCACAATGGAAAAGATGATGACTCTCCTTTTTCATGTTTCTGGCATTCCTCTTCAATGTTTTGTGTTGTGCGGCTATTCAAGTAGTCCATGGTGCCATAGAATTCACAGAATTTATTAATGTCACAGCGGTTCCCAACCTGGAGTTCTTTATCATCTATAACCCATCTGATGTAATAAGTATTGCCTCTCTTTATCAGCTCGATCAAGGTTGTAGAAGCTGGCTGAGGAGACGTGTACTGAGTGTTTTCTTGTTCGATCGTCTTCATCAAAGCGGAAACTGTAGTATCATGAGCGCTGAATAGGACATGCCTTATGTTTTTATGAAACTCTGAGTTAGAGACACCCTTATCTACTTTAACCTTCTCAACCAAGTTATCAACAATGAAGTTAATCAGCTCTGATGATGTCAGTTGAGCACTCTTGGGGTCACCAAACAAGCCTTCATAAAAATGGTTCCACCAGAATTTATTCAAAAGATTTTTAGCGTTTCCACTAAGATCGTTCTCAACAGTCATTCCATTTTTTGTGGCCATATCGTAAGTATCAAGATATGGCCATGCTTTTTCAATATTTAAATGTTCTTCAGAAACTCCCCATATTTGCTCCATGTCATGATACAAAGGGTATAATTCAGCTTTAGTGCTATAATGTGTGTGTCGGAATGATTCACCGATATAATCTTCAAGAATTGGACAAATCAAATAACTGTTGCCACTCAGTAAATGGTTCTCATTTGGCAACACATGGATTGGGAAAGGGCTATATCTGTGCTCAAGAACGTCATTACTTCTTATAAATTTAGATGCTTCAGTAGAGATTTTAAAGGGTGGGACAGCAGCCTTCCTTTTCCCACTATCTTCAAATAATGGTCCCTTACCAAGAGGGTAGAGTCCAAGAAGTTGAGAATAAGCAGACATAATTGTCCTATTTAGATTTGTTGAAATTACAAAATGATGCTGAGGATTAAATGTATCTTCTAGGAAATTAAGTTTATCCACATATCTTTTACGGAGCTTCACTCCTTGCAGATAATGCTGTCTTTCGCCAACTTCCAATAAATCACCTCCTCTGTTTGGCCAAGTTAAGTTGAGAAGCTCGCTTCCGCTTCCGTAGGATGATCTAACACCATGTCTTGTAATTTCAATTAGCATCAAGAGTTCATCTTCTTCTTCAAGAGCTGTAGCTATATTTTATTGATATTTTCAGAAATTAGTGGAGATATTTACTGAGAAGAAAACCTTACCTTTGAGCCAAGGGATTGATAATAGTATTAAGATGAATACTAGCCTCATTTTTGGTAAAAATAATTAATATTTCAAAATATATTATTAAAGATGGGGTTTTGGGGTTTTGGGGTTTTGGGG